TCACCCTATTTCCTATCACGGTATTAAAGTTCAAAATGATAAAACGGTATTTCTTGAATTAACGAATGTGTGAAATTGCTTAAGGTGGCTAATGGAGCTCGAGTCTAGTGTGATTGGTGATTTACTGTTATTTGGCCTGTTTACAGCTTTAAATGCAAAATGAGGTTTGATGTGGTCATTTTACAGATTTGTGTGCATATACTACGTTTTTATTAATTATGGGTTGAATGACTGAAAAACTGATACTGTATGTTGTCTGTTCGGCATGAATTACGATTTGCTTGTTTAAATGTGAATTGACGATGCTGATTGAGGGAAAGAAGAATGGAAGATTGTATAAATTGATAATTGTGTAATGGGGTCAGCCTGACTAGATATCCTGGGAGATGGTGGACGGACCGGGTCCGTAGGGAACCCTACCGGGATTGTGGTCTCACATGTCGGACGGGGTATGGAGATCTTATGGTTTTGGCGCCCATACCGGACGGGGTATGGGGACGGCCCGTTTCACCCTCATACCGGACGGGGTATTGAGGTTTATGGTTTTGGCGCCCATACCGGACGGGGTATGGGGACGGCCCGTTTCACCCTCATACCGGACGGGGTATTGAGGTTCATGGTTTTGGCGCCCATACCGGACGGGGTATGGGGACGGCCCTGGAAACTCATTATGAATGTTAAAGGTTAACGGGTAGCGGGACCCCTATGGACCCCCACGGATACTAGTAGGCTGGTAAATGAGAAAAAGATATGTTGTATAATGATTGAATTACAATAGGCGTGATAAGTGTTATGTTTTACAGCTTATATTATTCCATGATTATGATAATGTTATTGTTTTTCTTATATTGTTTCATAAATTCCACCGAGGTAAGTGGATGGTAAAGGGTTTTATTACTGATAAACGAGTTTATTGTGAATTATGCTCCATTGGTCTTTTTGTATTTTCTACCCACCTTTACCTCCGTGACGGTGAGATATCGTGATGTTCTTACTGGGCTAGTGTAGCTCACTCCTTATTTAACCATTTCAGATCAAGAAGACATGGTTCCCGAGCCCGTTCCGCAGGAGGACGACGAAAGGGATGCCTAGAGACTCTGTAGTCATACTCATAGCTTTATTTTCGAGTTTCTCTTTTAGTCAGTTTAATCTTTTATATTTTAAGCACGTTTTTGGTTTTCGTGTAAGGGATGTTAAATGAAATTTTGATCTCGCTTCCGCATTTGATATATTTAAATACTCATTTCATTTTAATATTTCCAGGGTCGTTACATGTTTGATCTATTTTTCAGTATTAAATGCAGTATGATGTCTGATGTATTTATTTTATGGTCTCGTATGCATGAATCATGGTTTGTTTTATTATGCTTGATATTATGGTTAACCCGATACTGTATTGTCTTGTTTGGTGTCAATTACTGGTTTACATGTTTGTGTATGATTGGATGATTGAGACCAAGGAAAATGGCAAAAAGGTTATGTGAATTGATGAGTGGATAATGTGGACAGCCTGACTAGATATCCTGGGAGATGGTGGACGGACCGGGTCCGTAGGAAACCCTACTGAGAACGTGGTCTCTCATACCGGACGGGGTATGGAGATCTTATGTGTTTTGGCGCCCATACCAGACGGGGTATTGAGGTTCATGGTTTTTGCGCCCATACCGGACGGGGAATGGGGACGGCCCTGGAATCAGGTTGTAATGTTAATGGTTCACGGGTAGCGGGGACCCCCTATGGATCCCCATGGATACTAGTAGGCTGGTAAAAGAGGAAAATATGTTGTTTAATCATTGAAATGCAAAGGTGTGGTAAGTGTTATGTTATAAAGTTTATATGATTTCATGATGATGATGATGTTATTGCTTTCTTATGTTGTTTTCATGGATCTCACCGAGGTAAGTGGACAGTAAAGGTTCTTATGTTCATAAATGAGTTTGTTATAAATTATGCTCCATTGGTCATTTTTGTTTTCAACCCACCTTTACTTTCGTGGTAGTGAGATAGTGCGATGTATTTACTAGCCTGGTGTAGCTCATTCCTTATTTAACTATTTCAGATCAGAATACGTTGTTCCCGAGCCTGTTCCGCAGAAGACGGCGAAAGGGATGCCTAAAGACTTCATAGTTATATCTATAGTTCTTATTTCAGTATCTATATTAGTTAGTTTGTTCCTTCATGTTTTGAGTACGTTTGATATGTGTAGATGTATCAAATTTTATACGCT